TGTGGTTTTCAGTCCACTGCCTAACCCACAGCGCCACGGGAACTCTGTAATAACAGCAGTGTTGTTAGGAGAGGCAAAATCTGCTGTTTTAATATGTGTCCCAACCCCAGGCCCAGCCACTGACCACCACTTATTAAACCCTCTGCACCTGTTTCCCCTCTGTAAGGAGGGACTACTATCTACAGGATAGGGGTTATATAAAATAATCACACTGCCCCAAAAGACAGTGCGACAAGCCCATGGAGCCTCATTGATGAATGCCCCTCCCTGGTTCTTAGAGGCATTGCCCAGTTAGCACCTAGGAGGGGGGGCTGGGAATGGGGCAGCTCTGCAAGGCTACTAGGCCCTCCCCTGGTGCAATTGTCCTGGCACCCACCAGTGGGATGGAAATTGGCTCTTCCTTAGGATGGAACATTCCCTCCCATCCCACCCCTCCAAACACGCACACAGAGACCTCCCATTGTCAGGAATTACACTTCTGGGATAATATTTAGCTGACAATAATGCCTACACGTTTGTCCTTTTAAGAAAAATGTAAGCAGTTTAAACCCACCCATTTAAATATGCAGAGATGCTTATTCATACCGCAGAGATGCTTCACATCCCCAAAGAACAGTTCTGCTTTCTTCTGCACAGATGAGCCACAGTGAGTTAGAGCTCGCCGTGTAGGGAGGGAAGGAGCCTGCCTTCTCAGAGCTTGGGTGAGGAGGGCCAGGGCTTAAAGCCTGACCCCTGAAGAGCCATCGGTGGTGCCAAGAGGGCATGTCTGCAGCTGGCCAAAGGGGAGGGACCACCTGCCAGTTCCCAGAGCCTGCAGGACCTGCAGCCCTGTCCACAGACAGCTGAGGCGTGGGGAATGGGTCTGCCCCTTAGTGGAACGGGAGAGGCAGCCGGAGTTTGCCTTGGATCGGGGCCTCTGTGCTTCCCAGTTAAGCAAGTTGCAGCTTCAGTGGTATAACTCTTCCACAACAAGCGCCTAATATCCAAGACTCTTCCCACGATCTTACACTGTAACACCAACGCCCACTTTCCCTGCTTAATGTTGTTCATAAAAACGTTGCCCTTCTCCCATCCTTGGCTCGTCTCACTGCCTTTCTACCACAGCCAACATTCCCCAGAGCTTGTCTTCCTCCCTGCAGGCAGGACACACACGTACCCTGCGAGACATTCCTGTTGACAAGCCACATCGTTAAGCTGATGGAGCCAGAGCCCTGGAGCTGGAGGAGCCACAGAGACCCATGCCAGCACTGAGATGCTCCCACCGCCACTGGACCCACAAGACTTACCACCCACTGGCCTGTGATCTTCCCGCATTGCATGTGTTGTGTGAGTCTGAAGAGGAATTTATAGATCGGTATCGGACATATGGGCTAATATTGGACTTACGGACTTGATCTGGACGGGGCTGGGCTGTTTTCTTAAGATACAATTACTTTCTTATATAAAGCTCTTTGTTCCATACATATGAGTGTCTGGATTTGTTTCTCTAGTCGTCCCATGGCGGGGGTGGTTGAGTTGGGCCTGGCCCATAGTAACCTTATGCACAAGAGAATGAAACCCCGTCTGGTCCTGTGCCATCTTCAACAATGTACAGATGTTGGGGAGACTCA